GTCATGTGTGCTCACTGACACATCACACTGACACACGTGCACGCTGACACGTCACACCGATACACATGGCGTGCTCACTGACACATCCCACTCACTGATACACGTGTCATGCTTACTGACATGTCACACTCACTGACACACATCGTGTACACTGACACGTCACACTCATACACATCGTGTGTGCACACCGACATGTATCACGACTGCATCCGGCTACACTGTACTGTATGTACCCTAATACATGTACCATGTATGTGCACTGATACATGTATAACAGAGCATCTTCCAAAAGGAGAAGAGAATAAGCATGGGGCAGAAAAATTCAAAAATGAAAATAGGTTATAAGTAAAAAGAAAGGAAAAGATACGTCATGCAAATGGTAACTAAAGAGAGTCGGAGTGGTTGCATTCACACAAAATAGACTTTAAAACAAGAACATCAGTAGAAATAAAGAATGGTATTTCATAATAATGGTAATGACCCTGAACACAGGGAATCCTTGAAAATCTACAAAAAACTAGAACCAGCGACATAGTGGGACTGGAACCAGCGACACATACAACCCACTGAGAAGCATGAAGGGACAACTGCACAAACCCAGGGACTTTCCAAACCTCCCCTTTTCATAACAGACCCTGAAACCTTCCCCAAAATCTCTCCCTCAGACACTCTGCCTTGAGGTGGCACAAGGAGACAGGCTGGAGCCCATCTCCTGTCTCGGCTTCCTCACGATAATCCTCTCACTCTCCACAAAAAAACGGCGCTTTGCTGTTTGGCTCTACACTGCCCATGAGCAAGGCCCCCATTCTGGTATTGGTATTACCTCAAGGACAGACAGAAACCACAAGGCAGATCAGGAAGTCTGGAGCGCATAGACCAAGTGTGCACTGCTCCACAGTGGACTGTGCCTGAGCAAAGGGAACAGGCTACAACAGGACAGCCTTCAAAAATGCCAAGCAGAGCCCCAGAAGCCGGATGACTTGGTGCCCAGAGCAGTGTCAGAGCGGCCCAGTCTGCAGAGACAGTGAGCAGGTCAGCGGCTGCCGAGGACTGCAGGCGAGAACAGAACTGTATGCAAATGGATGCAAGGACTTGAGTTTTTACAGATAAGTTTTATTGAGGTATAACTTACATAGCATAAAATTCTTCAATTTCAAGTGCACAATTCAACAGTTTTAGTAAATTCATGGAGTTGTACAAAAACCACCACCATTTCATTTTAAAATATCTGTCAGGGCTTGGCACCCATAGCACAATGATTATGGTGCCAGTCACAGGCACCAAAGCTGGTGGATTTGAGCCCAGCCCGGGCCAGCTGGACAAAAATAACAACTGCAACAGAAAATGGTCAGGCATGGCGGCTGGGGCCAGAGACTCACTTAACCCCAAGAGTTGGAGGTTGCTGTGAGCTATGTTGCCACAGCACTCAACCAAGGGTGACATGGTGAGACTCTGTCTCAAAAAATAAAAAAAAAAAAAAATATCTGTCAGGTAAGTGGCATCTGCTGGTTCATCAGAAATCCGAGAACCCTGTCCCTGCATCCTGGTATGGGAGCACTGCCTGGAAGGAGGCTTTGCTCACACGGAGAAGGGACAGAGCATGACCAGCTTCAGTGGTGGCTGTCCATCCCCATGGCCAGTGGCTCCCCTCAAGCCAAGGTAGGACCCCATCCCCACCCTGCAGTGGTGGGGTTGGCCAAGTGCCCCGTGACACACATGCTTCCCCAGGACAAAGGAGGACCCTCCGAGTCTGAGATGGAACAGCCCTTCCCACGCACAGCAACACGCCTGCCCTGGCCATGGGACCTCTACCCTGTGGGAAGGAAGCACTCCGGGCCCAGCGTCCATTCTTAGATGTCTGAGATGAGTACGAGACTGTCTTTCTCTCTAACAGTCACAAGTGACCCTTTGCGGATGATGGAAGTACTGTGAAGCTAAGTTTTGCTGATGGACTGCACAACTATAAATTCACTAAGATCACTGATTGTTTTTTTAAAAGTCTCATTTATGGCATAACAAGTCAGGATACAGTTACTTTTGGGGGGGTACAGAGTTACAGAGGCTACAAGCAGACCCAAGAGAGAATCAGGTCCCTGTAGCCCCATCTCTCCTGGCGCTGGCCACATGGAATGTGCTGGACACCTAATATAGGTTAGATTTCAACACAAATTTTGCATTAAAAATATTTTTTTTTATTAAAAATATTTTTATGTAAAAGACTAAAATTGGCATTTTCTACACTTTCTAAGGCAGCTTTATATATTTAATATCTTCTTAAAAGTGTTTATTAAACCAAAAGAAATCTACCCAAAATATACAAGAAGGAAAGTCACTGTGACACCAGATGCCACTTGCTCCCGGACACCTCTAGGTCCCAGCCAGCCCAGGATAGTAAGGCAAGAAAGGACGGCCTGGGAGACTGGCTCTGAGATGGACACAGAGTAGATGGGCAGGTGCCTCTACTTCCCCTCTGGGACCCCTTCCCTGGGCCCTCATGCTGATGTGGGCTCACGGGCTATCCCAACAACTAGGTGTGGACATGGAGAGTCCAGCAAGAGGTGACGGGGTCAGTAGGGGAGGACTGTAGGTCAGGGAGCTCCATCCCTGCAGGGAGTGGGACTCTAGAGTATCCACTGGTCCCTAGAGTATCCACTGGTCAAGGTAGACACAGTTCTGTATGCTGTGGGCTCCCTATATCCCGCCCACTGCCTGAAACGACCCCTTCACTACACCCTCTTCCACTGCCCCACATGAGTGTGCCCACTATTCCCTGCTACTCCCCACACAGCTCTGGTGCTGACATCCTGACACCCCACATGCTACCTTGGCATTGGAATCCCACTCTGGGCGGACAACAGCCCAGTCTCCTGAACAGCTCAAAATACTCAATACCAAGGCAGCCAAGAGGTTAGCCAGGAGGAGCCCCCAGCACCACTCAACTTACCCTAAGAGCTTCTGACGGGCATTATCCTGCAGCTGAGCGATTCTCTCTGGTCCAAGGTACTTAGATCCATTTGGGCCGTCACATACTAGCTTGTTAACAGCCGCCCTGAGAATATTAATCTGTAAATAAATAGCAAAATAAGTACTCATATGGCTCCACTTTAATTGAATTTCAGCAAAGAACTCATGGCCTTCTACGACCATCTTTAATATGATTTCTGGGGAAATTATTAAAACAACACAAATATAACATCAATAACCACAATCACAATGTAAGAACTAGTTACTAAAAGAAAAAAATTAAACTTAGCGTGAAAAGTTCAGACTTTGGAGGATAAACACACTTTTTAAGCTTCTACATTAACAAGCAATATAGTTTAGCCCATGGGGCTACACTGCTGTCACTCATCACGGACAAGCCTGTGACCTTACTGTTCACAGAGGCCTGAGAAGTCCCCACCCTGGGCACCAGGCGCTGTGTTTTCTTGCAGCCTTTTTCATAGTTTTCAAATAAATTACTTTTGAGTAAGTTCAGACCAATGTAGAGCTGCAAGCCAGAGCTGACAGGCACTGTGCTCCACCCGGTCCTGGTGTAGGCACCACGTCTGCACAGCTGAGAAGCCGGCACTGGGCGGCCAGTGACCAGACTTCAGGCTGTGTGTGGATCCGACCCATCTTTCCATGACTGCCCTATTCCTGTCCCAAGATCCAATTGGAGGCACCAGACTCTATCTGCCAGTTTCTCAGCCTTTTCTTGTTCTTTGAGATCTTAACATTTTGAGTTCTGGGCAGGTATTTGGCCGTCTGTCCCAGTTTGGGTTTCGTCTGATGTTTTCCTCACGGTTAGAGGTGAGGTGCCCTTCCTGCACGGTCATACAGGTGTGCCACTGTACAAATCACAGTGACGGCCACTCAGCTGAAGCAGGGCCCACCAGGCCTTCCCACTGCCACCCTTTACCTTTCCTCTCCTCAGGTCACAGAGTCTGGTCTGCCCTCTGGGAAGCGGGGCCCACACACTCCACTGCAAATTCTTCTGTGAGAAAGTCTGTCCCCATTCTCTTACTTCCATGTATATGTACGCATGGACATTTTACCCATGGGTAAAATGCTGGGGCGTCACAGCTCCTGGGCCCTGGCAAAGCCAGGCACTGCAGGTGCAGATGTTGTAAGGCACATGGGCACACCCCTCACTGTCACTCCTCTACTGACCTGTGCAGATTAAGCTAACCACTGGTGTTTCCAACTCTAACCAGGGACCATGGTTCACTCTTTTCTTATTCATAAACCCCCCTCCTGGTCATAACAAGCCTGGCTCTTGCATCTATTTTCTTATTTGTTCAGCCCCAGCACCGTATAAAGCCACTTAGGAATCAGTGACTCACAGCCCTGAGAATCAACCCTGCTGGGAGCACAATGCTCATGCAGTTCTCCAGCCTGCAGCCTCTCTGTTCCCAGTTGGGGCACTGTCCTGCAGGGCTCCCTGACCTAATTCCTGGGTGTGACTGTGACTGCCTCTGTCATAGTCACAAGTCATAGGTTGTGTCACTCTATGGTCCAGCCCTGGGGCATAGACTCCTCGCGTGGAGTGTGTTTTCAGATCCGTACCTTAAAGTTCCCCTCTCACAGCACACAGTTCTGTGGGTTCCAACAGACACCGAATCTGGGACACAGCACCATACAGAAAGCTCCTGACCTCCAAGCCCCTGGTGCCCCCCACCCTCATTGACCACTTATCTGTTTTCCACCCCTACAGTTTGGCCTTTTCCAGAAAGTCACTCAGCAGAATCACACAGTAATGAGCCCTTGAGTCCCGGCTTCCTCCACTTGGTAAAACTGTGTCAGATTTGCTCACACCATCACACGCATCTCTCTCCTCGTGTCACTGGATTGTAGGTTGCTGGTCTGAGCAAGTTCAAATAAAGCTGCAGATAAACACCTACAGGCAGGTCATTGGCCCACATGGTGGACACGTGGACCTAGCCGTGAAACCACTTCCCTAGGCCCACAGTGCCCCTGCAGCAGTGCAGTGCAGAGTTGGCACTAGCCATTCTGGTCTAGCTGTTCTGATGGTGGCAGGGGCAGCTCATGGCAGTCTTCACCTGCATTTTCCTAGTGACATAACATGCCAACCGCCTTTGTGGCTGTTTACTACCACACATATTTTTATTTGGAGATTTATCTTACAATTGGGTGCGAGCCCCAGGTGTATGACTCGTAGGCACCTGCTCCCAGCCTGCTGGTCATCTCTCTTAACAGGGACTTGTGCAGAGCAAAAGGTTTTTGGTTTTGTTTTTGTTTTGAGACCGAGCCTCAAGCTGTGGCCCTGGGTAGAGATCCACGGCATCACAGCTCACAGCAACCTCCAACTCCTGGGCTCAAGCGAGTCTCCTGCCTCTGCCTCCCAAGTAGCTGGGACCACAGGAGCCCACCACAACACCCAGCTATTTTGTGATTGCAGCCACAATTATTGTTTGGCAGGCCTGGGCTGGATTCGAACCCGCCAGCTCAGGTATATGTGGTTGGCACCTTAGCAGTTTGAGCCACAGGCACAGAGCCAGAGCAAAGGTTGTGATAATTGTGATAATGTCCAAGTTAGTTTTCCTTTCAGAGATTGTGCTCTGGGTGTTGCATCTACAAGCTCAGGTCAAACCCAAAGTCAGGTAGGCTTCCTATGTTTGCTTCCCAAATGTTCCCAGTTCCACATCTTACAGTTCAGTCTAGGAGTGGTGCTGAGTCTGCAATCCTTTCATCAGCTGTGGGGACGCTGAGCAATGCCTGCCACCTGGAGGTGCTGCCGCCCTGCCCTCAGCATGGCTGTCAACCTCACCTACTTCATGAAACTTCTGAGAAGAAAGGAGTTTGAGAACCACAGAGAAATGTTTCTCAAACTATTTGTGGTGAAGGGAAGTTTTCCCATTTTGTAAAAATGCAATAAAAATTAATTACTAGAACAATGAAATATTACAATGACATACAAAATACAGGCCCACACCTTCTGTCACCAGATTCACAAGACACACACATGCTTTGCCCCTTTGCTGCAGTCTCTAAAAGCCTAATCTGGCACCTGCTTCTGTCACCTCGCACTGGCACAAGTCACACTGCCAGTGGCTCTGCTCTAGACTCACGTGTGCACCTGGCCCTGAACTCACAGGGCCACCAGGCTGGGCAGAGGATGGAGGCAGGACTGCCCTCATTTCTCAGGATGAACCAGCAAGGATATTCCACCAGTCTGGACTTGGAGGAGATCTCAGGTGCCAGAGGCCCCAGCAGCCCCCACCCTGGTGTCAGATCTCACTGCCCACAAGAGCGTGCTGGGTCAGGGTTTACCAAATGGGAAACCAGTGAGCACGTCCAGCAGAGCGCCACTTTGCACAGCAGTAAGAACAGTGGAAAAGCTGAGGGATGATCTCTTGCCAGTGGGCAATGCAGGAGGCAACAGACGTGAGCGCCTCCACCTCAGAGGCGCATCTCTGTGGACAGGGCCCGGGTGGACGATCCAAACAGGGAAGAGGACTATAGCAAGGAGAAGTGTCACAAGCAGCGCTCTCACCTCAACAACATCCTCCACGTTGAAATGAACATCAAACGCAAGCTCAATGTCGTGCTCTGGCAGGATGGGGGCCCCTGTGGCTGGATTCCATCCTAAGCCACACAGGACTCCGGTGTAGCACTTCCCATCCCGAGCAACCCTATTCAGAATGTTTTAAGAAGAGTTAATCATTCAACATTGTTAAACTCCCTATACTGATGGTAAGATTTAAAAATGACTAGTAAAATCATCCTAAATTCTGCTAGCCCTAGCAGAAACATGCCTTTCGCTTGGGCATTTTTTTCTTTCAGCTTTACACTAGAAATAGAGATATGTAGTTATGTTTCTAAGAAAAGCAAATTGTTTCTATTAAACCAATATTAAGTTTCTAATTCTCACCGTGGCAGATAATGAAAAGAGTATTTTATTACATACAGGTTTTCTCCCCTACTGGCTGAATTCCTTCTATGGTGTAAATTCTTCACTAGGGAGATTTCTGAAGAAAAGGCTACACAAGTTCATATGACCTGTAAACTAAATCTAGCACTTAGCAAAAGCCTAAAATGTGCCTGTTCCACCATCTCATCCTGAAACATATACACACTTATGATACAAAGCATCACGTCCCAGCTTTACTGAAAGCGCATCACGCCCCTCTGACCAGCAGCTTGCCCAGCCATTTCTATCTTCCAAAGCCTCCAGCTTGCTGGCCCCCAGCTACTGCCGTGCCCCCAGCCTGGTCTGAGGCTCTGGCCTTTCTCATTAGGCTCATGTAATGACTCACAGACCAATTTCCGCCCCCTACTCCCACCTCTTCCAATCTTTTCTCTGCACAGCAAACGGTGGTAGCTTTTCCAAACAAATCCAGTACTATCACTCCCTTGCCTAAGGACTTTCAGCAGTTCCCAAGTGGAGGAGCAGGAATAAACCAGTCTCTGTCCCAGACTTCACCTCATCTCAGGAACCCCCCATGGCCCTCCAAAGCCAGCCCTGCTCCCTGCCCCGGCCCAAAGGCACAGCCCACCACCCTCTCATCTGGGGTCTCCAGAGACGTAAATAATGAATGCCTTGTGAAATATATGGCTAATTCAGACATTTTTTTTTCCCAAGACAGAGCCTCAAGCTGTCACCCTAGGTAGAGTGCTGTGGCATCACAGCTCACAGCATCCTCCAACTCTCAAGGAGGCTCAAGTGAGTCTCCTGCCTCCGCCTCCCAAGTAGCTGGGACTACAGGTGCCCTCCAGAACACCTAGCTATTTTTTGGCTGCAGCTGTCATTGTTTGGTGGGCCCAGGCTGGATTCAAACCCGCCACCTTGGGTGTACATGGCTGGTGCCTTAGCCGCTTGAGCCACAGGTGCTGAGCCATCTGCTCTAAATCTTAAGTGAATCAATCTCTTCTAGGAATCCTAAATATTTATGTGATCTTAAACACCAAGTAAGCCCACAGATATATGTCTAACTCATTTATAATGGGTACTTTAGACTAAAACTGAAAACTGCAAAAATCATGACAGAAACAAAAGCAGCAAATCCCAAGAGGAATATGGCAGGGACGTGCAGACGTCGCTCATCCTGAGACGATGTGCACAGAGGTGCTGAAGTTCGGACATGTCTCAAGGGCTGGTTTCTCGAGACAATTAATGTTTAAAATAAACACAAGAGAAGAAGAACTTGTATAGTAGGCTGGGACTCTGTACATGAGCCAAATAAGGAAATACATTCCTCAAAAGTTAAATGTTAGCCCGCCTGAAACATTGTACAAAAAAAACCTATTAACCACCCTGTACTAGGCATATTAGTCCACGAAGTGTTGATTAAATAGAAGTATTTGTGAAAAATCTTAAGTACTGTCCAAGTCCCCAGGAATCACTTGACTCTGCACTTCCCAACCTGATGCCTGGCAGGGCTGGTCCCTGGCCAGGTGTTTGCAGCCCTGGCTCCCGTGAGACCTGAGCATGTCCCATTTTTTTTTTTTTTTTTTTGAGACAGAGCCTCAAGCTGTCCCCCTGGGTAGAGTGCCATGGCATCACAGCTCACAGCAACCTCCAACTCCTGGGCTCAAGCTAGTCTCCTGCCTCAGCCTCCCAAGTAGCTTGGACCACAGGCGCCTGCCACAACGCCTGGTTATTTTTTTTTGGTTGCAGCCATCATTGTTGTTTGGCGGGCCTGGGCTGGATTCGAACCCGCCACCTTAGGTGTATGTGGCTGGCACCTTAGCCACTTTAGCCACCGGTGCCGAGCCGCATGTCCCATTCTCAAGGTACTTTCTTACCACCTCTCACTTTCAGTGAACTTTGCATTCTTCTTACATTTTCAAAGCTTTTTAAAAAATATACACTACAGATCAAGATTTTTTAAAATTATAAAATAACGCAGGAACACACTGAAAGTGCATCAAACAGAGATGGAAAAGTGGGCACTTCCTGATGACAAGGGGGGGTCTGTGAGCTGAACCTGGGTGACAGTGGCCAACACAAAACTCATATTGTGGGACCTCTCTGGCTCATAAAGGGTGACATGGCTGCCACCTGTCTCTCAGGACACTCACCCTTGGCCTCCCACCACCATGCTGAGGAAGACCAAAAGGCCACCTGAGGAAGTCTCGTGGAGAGGAACTGAGGCATCCGGACAGCACAGACCACAGCGTGATCTTCGACCCTGACTCTATTAAGCACAGACTAGCTGTCCACTTTGTGCCCTCACCAAATTGCCCACCCACAGAATAAAAATGGTGTTTTAACCCCAGTGAATTTCAGGGGAATCTGTCTCTAGCCACAGCAGAACATCAGTTAAGCTGCCTCCCCAGAACCTACACTCCCACACGTCTTCTTTGTAAAGTCTCCACAGAAATCCTGCTTGATCTTGGCACCAAAAGGAGCTACCATCTGTAGAGCTCTGTCTTCTGACCTCTCAGTTACCACAGTGAGAGAGACTGACAGGGTTCTGCTGACAGCTGGTCACCAGAGAACTCACTAGCGTCCATGGCCCACGGACAGCACAGGACACCACAGGTGCTGAGCCTCACACCCAGCTCCAGCCTTTGCCTGGCCTCTCCCTCAAGCTCCCATGTGGTGTCATGTGTACCTTTGTAAGCTCTCAGCTGCCTTCTGAAACATGGCCAAGCATAGATATATCAAAATAATAAAGGCTTGATCACACACAGCCAGAGGTGCCACAGCCAAGCCTCCTCTCCCAGCAGGGTACAGAGAGGTGCCCACCCCTGCCCAGGGCCGTCCCATGGGCCCCACCTTAGCTCCATCACAGGTGCGAAGAGCATGCTGAGTAGAGCTGGGAGGCCAGGGATGGGCGGCATCAGGGAGGTCTCTCTCAGCAGCATGGTCGAGCCTGCCGAAGGTCAGATGTGTCAGGCACGAAGTCACACTGTGAGGAGTGGTGTGCCCTCCCGGGCCACCTCTATGTACCTCAGGCCCCCCCTGTCAATGAGTGTCCCACAGGCTGCCCTAACAGTAGGGAGCTCCTAGTTCTCTGTTCCCAGGGCACTCCACAGAGACAGCACGCTACAACTTAGCACCCCACTTAGCTCCATCACCATGCCCACACAGGGACAGCTCTCTACCATCTTCCTCCTCCTTATTGGACCACCAGGTTTCCAGCTCTGTAGCCAGCCCTGGTAGATAAATGAGCCAACAAGGAGCTAGCAGTTCCCACATCCCATGCAGAGGGACAGGGAGAGCCCCACAGCTCAGCCTCTGTGGTCAGAGCACAAGTGTGAACATGCTCCCCATGCAGAGGCAACTTCCCAGTGGTGGAGCAATGGAGCTGCAAGGTACCAGTGGCATTCACAGACAGGGATGCGGCCACCAGCATCCTCTGGTGCAGGTCTTCAGGGGCGTCACTGATGATGACGGAGTTGATGCTCTCCTTCTCGATCCAGACACACCTGCAGGAGGAGGGGCAGTGGTCAGGGAGCATGTTCACAGCATGCTCAACCCACAACTTGGATGTTTCAAACATTCAGTCCAACAAAAACACGGATACTAGATAGGCTGAACAGCATCTGACTCCTAACTCTCCTGAGTGCCTCCTCTCACCAGATCACCATGTGCACTGGAGTTCTCCACTCTCTTCTCTCCTGCGGGATCCTAACTATTCCTAAGTAATACATGCACCCAGTCTGGACACCCAGACTCCACCTCCACCTGACACCCTCTGCGCTGAGCTACCTGCCCAAGCTGGCACTTGCATGTGTGGGCAGAATGTGGAGTCCTGTGAAAATGCAGAGTCCAGGGTGTGGCCTGAGCCTCTGTACTCCAGTTTATGCTGCTAGTCCACACAGAGCACTGTGACAAGCCAGGGCTTCCCAAATGCTTTGGGACAAGTCTATAAAGCTAGCCAGCATCTGCCATGAACCCTACAGTCCCTGAAGGCCGCCCAGCTCCCCCACTGAAGGCTCTCAGACCCTCATGCACAGACTCGCGGAGTCAGGCCTGCACACTTGGCGCCAGCACCACCCCTCCCACTTCGCCTCCTCCCCACAGCACCCATACCTCAGAGTCTCCTTCAGGTCTTAGATTTCTCTAGAAAACCCCCATGGCCTTCTGAGTGCCACCTGGGCCCCTATTTGCTTTTGGAATGCTCTGTGTCCCCATCAAGACCTTATCACCCTAAGTTATAATCGCCAGTTTTCTTTTCCACATCCCCCAAGAGAAAGTAAAGTCTCTGACAAAAGATTCTCTAAGTCTCTTACACAGGATGGTGAGGGACATGGTTGGATGTTGGCCCATCCAAACCTCAGGTTTAAATCCAACGATCCCCAGTGTGGGAGCTGGACCTGGTGGAGACAGATCCTTCATGCATGGCTTGGTGTCCTCACCACGGTAAAGAGTGAGCTCTGCCTCTGTTAGTTCACTCCAGAGCCCACTGTTAAAAAGAGCCTAGCCCTCCTCTCTACCTCTCCCCTCCTCTCCCATGTCACATGCCTGCTCCCCTTTCTCCTTTCATTCTGAGCGGAGGCTCCTGAAAGCCTCCCCAGCAGCAGGTGCTGGTGCCGAGCTTCCTGAACTATTTGCAGAACTGTGAGCCAAATAAATCCCTTCATAGATTATGCAGCCTCAGCCACTCCTCTATAGCAACACAAAAGTAAGGCAAGTAATTTTTATGTAAAAGAAAAAGTATACCTTAAATCTGGGACAGGTGGGAAATTAGAAAGAGTTAGAAAAGATAACACATACCAACAGGTTAGAAATAAAAATTAGTTCCAGATAGGATCTATAAATAGAGAATCAGAAAAAAAAATTGATGGGAAAGATAAGTTAATCATACCTGAACTTGGATATTCTGGTCAAACTATGACACTTCAGTTCGTAAGGGTTAAACGGCCCATGGAGAATTGCCTATGTGCACAGAACACAGGAATTATCACTAAGATGCCCAGTTATCTCTTAACATGAAGGCAAAAATCCCAAAGTCAGCCTATAATTTTTTTTTAAAGGCTACATCTCAATCATAATACCTTCAAGATTCAGTGAGAAAAAGGAACCTTAAAGAAGGTATTTTCTGGCTCGGCGCCTATAGCTCAACCGGCTAAGGCGCCAGCCACATACACCTAAGGTGGCGGGTTCGAATCCC